AAAAAAAAAAGGTGTCATTCATGTGTCTGCATTTCTTATCTTGGTAAGGGAAAATAAGCACCCATTTTTTTTGTACTTTTGGTTACAGAAAACAGGCAGATATGCAGTACATCCATGGGAGATGGATGCCATGAAGTTTTGTCTTGTTACAGATTTATTCTCTTTTTTATACCTCAGACACTGGAGGAAAAGAGAAAAAAGGTGTTCAATTACCTGGATTGGGAATGGTTTGATTATAGAGGATGTCCTGAAATAATTGGTGACTCAGCTGTTCTCAATGGTGATTTTTCAAACCTGTTCCAGCATCTTAAGCTTCTTCAAAAGTTACTCTCTGTCATCTGGGGTTCCCCATAAAATCTCCATCTGGGGAGGTCAGTCATCCTGAATGGAGCTCAGCAGCAGGTGAGGCAGTTTGCTCACATTGTGGAGGTAGGTGGAATAGATAATTCCACCTTTGAAGTTCTGCTGAACCGTGTGTGGGTGAAGGTACAGCAGGTTTAAATGAAATGAAAAAGAAGAGGCTCCAGCTGCTGCAGGTTTTTGTTTTGCTCTATAGATTAATTGACCAATGGGGCACAAGAATGATCACTGCAATTCATGTAGTCCTAGGAGCAGGGGGTGGGAGGTCTGGGCTGCTGGAGCAACAAACATCCCTCTAATGAATGTCCTCAATGTGTCGGCTGTGAGCGAGTCTGCATGAAACTGAGTGGAACTCAATCTGGCTGGGCTGTGGGCCAACACACAGCAGTGCTGCCTGGTACCAGCTGTGCCAGCCTGTCCTCTGCATCCCATTCCTGCTCCCTGTCTGACAACTGATGGTAAACGCAGAGTGGGAGAGTTTGAATTGCATTCACTGCACCAAATCGACAGAATAAACCTAAGCACTGTCAGCTTTGGTGGGGAAGAGTGTGACTTCATGCTGACTGGCTGTGTTCTGCTGATGTCCTGCAGGTCCTGGGGCTGCTGGATCAGAAATGGTCACAAAGAGAAGGAAGCCATGCAGACAGGATCTTTTAAAAACTCCTTACAATGCCACGGTGGGAAATTGGTTCCTGATTTTTTTCTTTCTGCTTATGTTCAGTTTCTCACTTTCATTGATGACTTGGAAGGGTTGTGTTCTGTGTGAGTAAAGAACTGAATCTGAGCGCAGCAATGCTTGCTCTTGATCGTAACCTGGTGTAACTGTGCTAGATGAAATAGCTTGATTACAGGGAACCATTAATTACACACCTAGTTAAACATGTCAGCACTTGTATCTCTGTATGCTCTACCATATCAGGTGAAGTAAGCATGGGAAACTCTGTAATTATTATATTTTTTGAAAGTAGCTACCAGAACACAGCTGAACGTGAACCAAGGGGATACAGTGGCAAGAGGAGAAAAAGAGCATGACAGAAGAAGTGTTATCAGCTGTGAATTGCAGCTGGGCTCCAGCCTGCTGCTTGGCACCTGGCACAGGGCAAATGCCCCACGTGTTTGGGAAGATGAATCATTTAACTACAGAAGCTGCTGAATGCTGTTTAAGTGCAAGTATCTTACTTGTATCATGCATCCTGACACCCCACCCTTCCTCTTTCCATGCCCCCCCTCCCCATGCCTTCTTGCTCTGCAGTATCCACAGTCATTCCAGACCTTTGGATTTCTTTGTGTGCTCAATGACCAGAGCTGTTCATGGCATGGAATGACAGCATCCAGGCAAAATACTCATCAGTATGGATTGGTCATATTCTTCCAAACAGGCTCTTTGGTGGGCTGAGACAAACTGAGCAGAGGTGGCAGTGGGGCACCTGGAGCAGCAGCTTTAGAGTGACTAACAGGCTGTGCAGCTTGTTCTCATCGAGTATTGTATAGAGAAAGCTGCCCTGAAATAGGAATGATTTGAGTTTTTTCCCTCTCTCCTTTCCAAAAAGCTGAAATAGGGGTGCCAATCATTACATAACAAGCTTGCAGCCAGAACAATGGGTTGTTGCTCTTGTTTATCTCGTGTGCTGCTATCGGAAGCAATACAGATACACAGTATAGAAAAGCTTCTGTGCAGCTGCCGAGAGCATGGCATGCAGGTTGGTAGCTGTGAAGGAGGGAGAGGTGGGATCAGGTGCTCACAAGTGATTTACAGATGAGAAGTACTCTTTCCTGGCCTGTGAGAGCTTGGCCCCCTGGAACAGGAGCATCGGCTGGTCTGCTTGTTAGGTATCTGCCTGGTTGTGGTCCTGCTGAGGGCTGTGTGACCACTGCTGATCTGCAGAGGGCTGAAGGAACCACATTCCTCAGCTGAATGCTATCTGCTGGTCCACCTTCAGTGCCACGCAGGGCAGCTGCCTCCCAGCCCTGCTGAAGTCATTCTTGGCAGCTCGGTTCTGCTTTTGCTGCCCTTCTGAAGCCTTATTCTCCCACCTCCGTGCTTTGAGGTGTTGGTTTTGTTTCCTATTCGCTTGCTGTGATTGAGGGAGCCATCCTCCTTTACTGCTGTTGTGGGGAAGGGTTTGTGCGTCAGGGATTTGCTTTCTTTCCATGCCCCACCAACTGAAAGAGCAGGTGGGGAAGGACAGCCCTTACCAGCCCTGCCTCAAGCTGAAAGGTGAGCACCTGAAGCTATGTTTTACCTGGCCTGCTGCTCTGCTGTCTGTTTGAAGAGGCTGAGGCTCTATAGAGGACGCTCTTGCCAAGGCTGACCACCACCTGCACCAGCTCTGTTCCAACTCTTCATCCTAGCCGAAAACAAACCCAAAGTCTCCTTGTCCTCTTGCTGAGCGTTTACACCAGCGTGCTTAGGCATCGCTGCTGCAGAATAGTTTCCCATCTCTCAGCCTTGCAGTGCACAATGCTCCTCCCAATATTTATACCCAGCTTCCTTCCTTTTGTTCCAAGTGAGAGCCACGCATGCTGGTGCCTTCCAATATTTGGCCTTTGTTTATTTGGAACTACTCTCTGCCTGGCGCTGGACTCGTGCCTTTGTTGCCAGCAAATAGCAAAGCAGGGCTTCACAAGGAAAGGTTTTGCCTTTTCACGCAGGAGGCGTCTGTCTGTCTGTCTGTCCTCTGTACAATGCACATTAGGCAGCAATCAAGACATGGGCCTGCCTTGTAGAGTGCCTGTACCCAGTGAGTGTGCCCATGCTTGTGCCTTCTTTCTGCACAGCTGTAGCACCGTTGGAAGGTGGTTCCATCAGAAGTGGGGTGGCCAGCAGGGGCAGGGAGGTGGTTGTCCCTCTCCACTCTGCTCTTGTGAGGCCCCGTCTGCAGTGCTGTGTCCAGGTCTGGAGCCCCCAGTACAGGAAAGATGGAGAGCTGTTGGAGAGGATCCAGAGGAGCCACAAAGACGATCGGGGTGCTGGAGCACCTCCACTGTGAAGGCAGGCTGAGGGAACTGGGCTTGTTCAACCTGGAGAACAGAAGGCTGCAGGGTGACCTCATTGCAGCCTGCAGTACCTAAAGGGAGCCTACAAACAGGAGGGGAGTCAACTCTTTGGAAGGGTAGATAACTGCAGGGCAAGGGGAAATGGTTTGAAGTTGAGGGAGGAAAGATTGAGGTGGGATGGCAGGGGGAAGTTCTTTACTGTGAGAGTGGTGAGGTGCTGGAACAGCTGCGCAGAGAGGCTGTGATGCCCCATCCATCCCTGGAGGTGTTCAAGGCCAGGTTGGATGGGGCCCTGGGCAGCCTGGGCTGGTATTAAATGTGGAGGTTGGTGGCCCTGCATGTGGCAGGGGGTTGGAGATTCATGATCCTTGAGGTCCCTGCCAACCCAAGCCATTCTGTGTGGCAAATGGTGGCTGTCTCTTTGCTGCCAGTTGGGGCCATTGGTTCCTCGTACGTCTCACCCACCCAATAAAACCAGGAGAAAAGCAGAGCTTTCCCAAATCTTTCTAACACATCAATGTGTTGAGGTGCCCGTTTGGCCCTGGGGGGTCCTGTTGTCATAGGAATGTCCATCTCTGGTGGAGTTAGGAACTCCACCTGGGGACTGAGGGCTGTTTGTTTAGCAGAGATTTCCCTTCATGTATGTGCTGATGGCATGGAGCATCCATGACAAAAATATGGATGCAGATGGTTATGCTGTGTTACGGAAAAGGCTGAAGAATGTGGGAGAACTTCATCCTTTACTTTTAATTACCTAGATAATTACGTTAACCCTAATTTAGAGTAATAAATTATATGCACATTAATAACACTACCAAGCATTCCTTAGATTTATGCAGATAGTCTATAGCATATTGCCAGTGCAGAAACTGGTGTAGCTCTGTGATCAGGAAAAACACCTCTTTCTTTTAGCAGAGTGTGTGACCAACTCGGAATGGGATCTGCTGAGCATTGGATGGAGCTGCTCTGGAGATGTCCCAGAGCTGCCCCTGGTGCACCGAGGTAGAAGGAGAGATGGAAGAGATTCTGTAGAATCTGGCAGGGATGGGACGCAAGCTGCCCTCTGGGCAACCTGTGCCAGTGCTTTGCTGCCTTTAGCATAAAAACCTTCCTTATATCCAAGTGACAGAGCAAGAGGTCTGAAGGTGTGGGAGCAAACACCCATCTGCCCTTTGCCGTAGCATGAGTGTCTCAATCCCAGCAGTGATGCTGCATTCAACATTTGTAGTGGTTAAAAGTAAAGCAGACAGCCCCCAGACCTTGCACATTCAGATTCTTCCTTTGAATCTGAGCAATGACCTCTCTGAAAGTGCAAGGAAAACACTGAGGTTTCCAAATTGAGAGTTGAGAAACAAGGAAACGCTGGAGCTCGAGTGCCCGTGCCATCCTCGGTTTCTCCTGTTTCCCGTTTGCTGTGATTTTTGACGGTGCAAACACATCCTCCTTTTTCCTGGTTAACCCATTTATTCCCACTTACTCAAGCTTCATTCTTTCTCCCAGCAAAAAGAATCCCACTGCTGGGCGGATCAGAGCTCCAACATCCAACCTTTGCCTTCATTGGGCAGCAGTGCCACAGAGGGACGAGCCCTCAGCCCCACCAATAAAGCAACCGGTGGCAAACGCAGCCCTTTCCCAGGGCTGGATTGCTGCCGGCTCAGCCCTTTTCCTTTGGGATGGGGATGAGTTGCACGGGGGGAGGCAGCGCGGAGGCTGCGGGGCTGTGCCTGCCTGTACAGGTGTGCACAGCGCGGAGGAATGCCAGCCACTGAGTCACGGCCCCCTCCCACCTGGCCAGCATAAAGCCCGGCCTCACCTGGGCACGGGGCTCAGCACTCGGCTCGCACCTTTGGGCACCGCGGGATGGAGGAACGTGGAGAACGAGGTCAATCTTTGGGCATGTGAGCCCTGCGGGACGGAGATCGGCGTTTAACCGGAAAGAGAAAGGGGACAGAAAAATAGAGCGGAGGGAATAAAAGGGAAAAGAAAAAAAAAAAAAAAAAGGAAGAAAAGGCCCAGCCCAGAGCTGAGCCGGTGGCAGCGGAGCACTGCGTTCCCTGCTGCTGTTGGAGGAATTCCTTGGCTCGCTGTGTGGGTGCTGTTCTTCGGGTCACGGCGGAGGTTTGGACGCTGTCAGCACCGGCGCTAATGAGGTTTGTGGAATTAATTCATCTGAGCTCCGTGGCGTTGGGTTTGTTTTTAATTTGGTGGTGCCGATTGACTCGGGGGCGGATGAAGGCACAGGGCAGGTGGGCTCAGCTGCGTGCGTTTGCCCTTCTCCTTTAGCGATAGCTGCGTGCTTTCTGCTGCCTTTTTGCTGCTGGCTGTGCTGCTCGTGCCTGGGCAGTTCTGCTGTGCAAAGCGCTTTTCCTTTCTAAAGTTATTTGGTGGAACAAAGCTGCCCGGGGGGGGCCGTGCCTGTGCCGTTGGGACTGCACACAGCCTGCAGCGCTGCTGCTTTTGGAGACAGTTCCTTCCAGGTTTCAAAGGTTACAAGAGGAAAGTCCTCCTGCGGAGGCACGACTAAGAGCTCACGGAGGTTATTTTGCAGAGCAGGTCGCTGGCTGCAAACCCTGTGAAATGCGGGTCAGGTTGGTGGTGCTTTTCTGGGGGTCTGTTCTGGTGGTTCCTGAGCTTGTGAGGTCTCTGCGTGTTGCCCACCTGGGTGCTGGGTTCTCCCTGGCACAGCACTGGGTGCTCTTCCAGCTGCCTCCCACCACCATCCCCTTCTCCATCCTGTGGGTCCCACTGCACCTCAGGGGGGTCTGTGACTGCAGAGTGGGATCAGGCAGTGCTGGGGCCCTTGACACGCTGTCCCCAGTCCCGTGGGTTGCTTTGATGCTGGGTTGGATCCCTGCAGACTCCAGTGTCGCATGAAACAGAGGACAGAGGTGACACACAGGATCACTGTTTGGGAGGAGGGTGTGTTTGGGTGCTTGGATACCCTGAGGCTGCCGTCCCTGAAGTGAGCCGACAGCCCTGTCTCCAGTGGTATTTCATAAGTCTAAATGCAGCAGATGGCTGCTGTGCCCATCCCAACCTCCAAGCTGTGCAGATGAAGGCCTACGAGGGGGGTATGCACGGAGCTTAGGACATTGGGTTCCCATTCCTCAGCCCTCTTCCTCTATGTGCTCCAGGGCAGTGCTGGCTGCAGCTTCATCCTTCCCAGCACCAAGCTGACAAGGGAAGGTGGGGACAGGTTCTGCTGCCCCAGCCTGTCCCCACACTGTTCCTGCAGTGGTTCCTTTGGAGGAGGGCCTTTTTGCTCAGGTGTGAGCAGTGCAGCCCAGGGGTTCCTCGGTGCTTTCTGGAGCTGCGTGTTGGCTGTGCCAAGGCAGAGATGGAGACTGGGGGCAGAGGAAGAAGAGCAGGAGGAGATGTGGCTGGAGAGAGGTTGGCTGCTTTTGTGCCACTGGGATCAGCTCCACTTTGTCTCCTAATCCTCCCCAATTGAGCCGATTTCTTTTTTATTGTCATGAAAACCCAACCAAAGCACAGCACCTTTTCCTAAGTAAGTCTCTGTTCGTGGCAGGGGAGTTGGACTAGAGGACCTTCAGGAATCCCTTCCAACTCAGAGGATTCTATGACATTACGGCCACTTTACTCTGCTTTTATTCTGAGCATGGATTGCTGGCAATGTGGGGTGGGACCAGACACTTCAAAGCTGGCAGTGCACAGGGCACCAGGATGTCAACACCAAGCTGTGCTTTATGGCTGCTTATCTCAGCTCTCAAAAGGACATAACTGCGTCGGTGTACCCAAAGGCCAGGGAGTGCCGTGATGACTCTGCCTGGCCTCGTGGGCAGGAGAGGAGCTGGGTCTGCACCACAGGGCTGAGCTGAGCTCTGGGCCCTGGAATGGGAGATTTTTCCCTATTTCTGCAATGGGGCTGTTGCCATGTATCCAGCTACTATGTGAGCACTCAGAGAGAGAAATCCCAGCACTGGTGCCGTGTTGGAGTCCTTGCTGCCACGACTTCTGCACCTGCACAGCTTTGTGCACTCAGTATATTTCTGTGGGCTCCCCTGGAATCTGTGCAAGGGACCCCAGTGCTCTCCAAACCACGCAGCCTCCTGACAGCTCTGGGCAGCCCAGAGCTCTGGGTCTGGCATTTCCCAAGACCTCACCCTCTGTTTGTTGTTCGGCCATCCTGGAAACTCTTACTGCAATAGGAAATAGCGGGAGGGACGGCGCTGTGTTGTGCTTTGTGGGGGGGTGCAGGTGGACGCTTTGCTCTCTCCCAGGACAATCCAGGGCTGGATCCAAACACTGCTGCTCTCGTGTGTGGAAGACGCTGGGCTCTGCCCAGCAATGGGGTGGCAGTGGGGTGGCAGCCACTCTGCTCCAGCACAGCTCCTTCTCTTGCGTGAGCCTGCATGGAGCAAGGGCTGCTCTTGGTTCTGCTGCTGTGCCCTGCCCTGCTCAGAGCACGGATTGTGCCCATGCTCCAGCTCTCCCAGGCACACCACTGTCTCCTTTTGGGATATTTCCCCCCCAGCCTTGGTTTTTCCACTGCTCAGCACCCCATGTGTTGCAGGAGGAAGAGGATGGCCACGCTGCCAGGGCCGTGTGTGGGGCTGCTGCTGCTGGCCCTGCTCTGCACCACCATTCTTGGCCAACGGAGCAGAAGTGAGTGCAGCCTTCCTCCATCCGCCCCAGCAAAACCTCCGACTCCACGGGAATAGGGAATAGGGTCGGCCTTTGCACCTCTCATCCTTATTTATTTTCTGCATTCCTTGTGCTGCAATCTTCCCCCTCCAGATAACCGCTGTGTGCAGAGCCGGGCAAAGAGCTGCACCGAGTGCATCCGTGTGGCCAAGGAGTGTTCCTTCTGCACCGAGGAGGTGAGGGCAGGCAGGGCTGTGGGGCTGTGATCCCAGCTGCTTCCACACCCTGCATCCCATCACTGGGAAATCCAGGGGAAGAACCCAAGAACGGAGTCAGCCTCTGGCTGCAGACCCAAAGCTCTGAGATGTGGATTGCCCTTAACTCAGACACTGACTACAGGGAGGCAGGGAAAGTTTGGGGCAAGCTTCCAAAATACAGGAATTTATCAATGAATGCCCTTTGGCCAGGGCTGAAATTTTTCAGGGATTTTGGCCAGGGCTGAAGTTTTTCAGGTATCCCAATACAGGGATTACCCATAGGATGGAGGGAGAGATGTATCCCAGGTGCTCCCATTCCCCAGTGTTCTAGGGGACACTGGATCTTCTGGGCAACACTTGTCTCCATCTCTCTGCCCTACAAGGAAGGGCTCACCAGGCCCAACTGACTCACCCAGGATTCCACTGTGCCCTTCCTGCTGAGAGTATGGAATCATAGAATCACAGGATGGTTGGAGCTGGAAGGGGCCCTAAAGGCCATCTGGTGCCACCCCTGCCCTGAGCAGGGACACCCACAGCTCCATCGGTGCTCACAGCCCATCCCTGCCTTTGGCTGTCTGCAGGGATGGGGCACCACTGCCTCTATGGGCAACCTGTGCCAATACTTCACACCTTTTTATTATTATTATTTATTTATTTATTTATTTATTTATTGCTTTTTTGCTTATTTTGGTGCCCTTAACACGGCTCTCATACTGATGCAGAGCTTTGAGGAGCCGCGCTGTGACCTGCGGGAGAACCTGCTGCGCTATGGCTGCGGGGAGGCCGGCATCGTCTACACGAGGGGCGAGATGCACACTCAGCAGGTGGGCACTGCAGGGACCCCCATCTCCAGATGTTGATGTCTGGGAAGGCACCCAGCTGGGCATATATGGGCATGGGGGAATTGTTGCTCTGAGGGCAGGGAGTGGGGTAGTAGATTCATAGAATGGTTTGAGTTGGAAGGGATCCTCAAAGGCCACCTGGTCCATCTCCCTGCGATGAATAAAGGCACCCACAGCTCCATCAGTGCCCAGCGCCCCGTCCAGCCTGACCTTGGGTGTCACCAAGACTGGGGCATCCACCATAAGTTACCTGCCTACAAGAGGTGGAGTGCATCCCATTCACCCCGCTCTTCCCCTGCAGAACATCAGCATCAACACATTCCTGCAGAGGACCCAGGTGGCCCCCCAGGCCATGTTCATGAGGCTGCGGGCTGGGGAGGAGATGAGCTTCAATATGGACGTCTTCCAGCCCCTGGAGAGCCCCGTGGATCTCTACATCCTTATGGATTTTTCCTACTCGATGTCTGATGACCTGGATAATCTCAAGAGCATGGGGCAAAACCTGGGTGAGAATAGGGAGCACAGGGTTCCATGTCAGGATAAAACTTTTATTAGTTTCTTGTTGCTGCTCTGTTGGGTGGATCCCTCCTGGCCCATCATGTGTTCTCTCTATGCCCTGTGGGGTTGTTCTGTGCAGTGGCTTTGGCACCTCGAGCCTGTAGGCATGGGTTGTATTGGAAACTCCTGTCTTGGAAAGGAGCTGCCAAAAGTGGCGTAGGTTTCTACCTCAAAAAGACAAGATCTGAGCCCAAAGAGTTTAAATCCCTGGGGTCCAATCTGAGATGTGACCAGCATAGATGGCACCCAGGAAAGGGCACCTTTCTGTGGAGCAGCAACGCAGTGGGCTTATCCTCTTTCACATCTATTCCTCTCTCCCAGCCGAGTTCCTGCAAGCACTCACCTCCAATTACACCATCGGCTTTGGCAAGTTTGTGGACAAAGTCTCATCCCCACAAACAGACATGAGACCCGAAAAGTGAGTAAGGCTGGGGGGCCGTACAGGTATGCAGCTCCCCATTGAGGTTGCTGGAACGTCTCTTTGCCCTCCTGCTCTCTCATAGGCTCCGTGAGCCATGGAACAACGCTGACTCCCCCTTCTCCTTCAAGAACGTCATCCGCCTGACCAACAACATCAACTACTTCAGCCAGGAGCTCAGGAAGGAACGCATCTCTGGAAACCTGGATGCACCTGAGGGTGGCTTCGATGCCATCCTGCAGACTGCTGTTTGCAAGGTGACAGTGGCTGACAAATGGTCAGGTTCTGGTCTGGATGGGCTGAGTATTCCAAGCCCTACCAATGACCAAAATTGCTGTGTGGTGGGCTCAGAAGTAAAGGTTCTTTCTCCCCATCTGTAGGACAAGATTGGTTGGAGGAAGGACAGCACACACTTGCTTGTATTCTCCACTGAGTCAGCCTTTCACTACGAAGCTGATGGCACCAATGTCCTGGCAGGGATCCTGGCGAGGAATGATGAGGAGTGTCACCTGGACACCCATGGCACCTATGTGTATGACACCAAGCAGGACTACCCCTCGGTGCCCACGCTGGTGCGCCTGCTGGGTCAGCACAACATCATTCCCATCTTTGCTGTCACCAACCACTCCTACAGCTACTATGAGGTGAGGGAGCTTCATGGGATCATCTTTCTTCCAGGACCATCTCTTGCTCCTCTTTGGTTCCCAAGTGCTGAAGCAATGTCTGTCACTTTGAATTTGTGTCGTGGTGTCTCAAGTTCTGGTTTGGGTTGTGAAAGGCCCCAAGATGTGTTGTTGGGATGCAGGAATCTGAGCTCCTAGGAGTCTCCTTTGTTCGTGTGGAGACACAGAGCCAGAGAGCAAAAAGACCTTAAGACCTTGGTCAAGACCTCAAGCTGAGCTGAGAACATCCCTGAGGACATACATGGTTGACCCCTTTTTCCTAAGCACTTCCCCGCCTCTTTTTCCTGCTAAAATCACATTTTTATTTTTTTTCTACTAAAATCTTGTCTATTGATCACAGCAGCCCATGAACAAAAGCATCACCCCGATCTTGGGCTAAGGAGAGCTGTGGGCTCACTGCCTCAGACGGTGCTAAGGAGCAGTAACAGTTGGACTTGCCACCATGGTGCCATACCTCAGTGTGCCCCTTTTTCTCTGCAGAAGCTGCACAAATATTTCCCCATCTCTGAGATAGGGGTGCTGCAGGAGGACTCATCCAACATAGTGGAACTGCTTCGTACAGCCTTTGAGGTAACTGTGCTCTGCAGGGCTTTGCTCTCGCTCCCAGGGTGGGATGTGGTGTCAGTAAGGCTGATGATCTCCTTCTGTCCACCCAGCGCATCCGCTCCAAGATGGACATCCGAGCTGACTTTGTCCCCAAGGCCCTGAAGACGGAATTCATCTCCTCAATGTATGAAAAGACGGAATCTGGGTCCTTCCACATCACCCGTGGGGAAGTGGTAGGTCACAGAATCACAGAGAATCAGGTCCCTGGGAGGGCTGAGCTCCCGACACATCCCAGCTTCCTCCCTCCTGGGATTCGGTGATGGAGTCACTCCTCTGGGCTCACCCACCTGCCCCATCCCTGCAGGGTAAGTTCCAGGTGCGGGTGAAGGCTCTGGAGCACGTTGGTGGGCAGCACGTCTGCACCCTCCCTGAGAAGGACCGGCAGGGCATTATCCATGTGAAACCCACCTCACTGAGCGACAGCCTCCAAGTCCAAGCCTCCGTCGTGTGCGACGTGTGTCCCTGTGAGCAGGTATGTACTGGTCCTGCTTGGCCCTGGGCAGGAGGTTTGGTGTTCCGGGTCAGGAGGCTCAGGGATGCTGCTTTGAGCTCATGGTGCACATGATCCTACTGCAAAACTCAGTTTCATGGGCAAAGCTTTTCCCTTGGTTTTGCCTTCTGATGCTTGAGGTGTCTGTGGGGGAATTGAGCCCACCCAGCCCACCTCTAATCTATGCCCTTACAGCAACCAGATTTCCGATCACCCAAGTGCAGCTTTCATGGGGACTTCATCTGTGGGCAGTGCATCTGCCATGCAGGCTGGTAAGGACCTCACTGAGCCTCGTGTCCCTCTGCCATGTCTGGGGACACAGCACGATGCTCACACATGCCCTGAGGATTCTGCCCGGGCGCAGTCTCCATGCTCTGCTCCCACCCTTCTCCATGTCACCCCAGGCGAGGGGACACGTGTGACTGCTCTCCGGCCTCATCCCTCAACAACGAAGCCTGCATCCGCCCTGGGGATGTGGAGCCATGCTCAGGTCGGGGCGAATGTCTCTGTGGGAAGTGTCAGTGCTACCCTGAGGACCTGATGCAGCGCTTTGATGGGGACTTCTGCCAATACGACGTGCTGCAGTGCCCGCGCACCTCCGGCTTCCTCTGCAACGGTGAGAGCCATCGAGTGGGACTCAACGATCCGTATGGGTCCCTTCCAACTTGGGATGTTCTATGATCCTTATGGCTCCCTTCCAGCTTGAGATAATCTATGGTTGTTATGGATCCCTTCCAACTTGGGATATTCTGTGATCCTTATGGGTCCCTTTCTACTTCAGATATTCTATGATCCTTATGGATATCTCCCAACTTTGAATATACTGTGATAAGGGATATTCTACGATCCCTTCCTTCAGTGCCTGCAGGTCCCGGTGAGCCCAGTTTGTGGCACTGGGACATGAGGATGAAGAACTTGATGGGTCTGGGGGACTCTACACTTGCACATGTGCATGGAAATGGGGGCACTCTGTTTGCCCAGGCTCAGGGATGCAGCCCACGTCGGGGTGCCATGCAGTGATGTCTCCTCTCACCTTGCAGATCGTGGTCGCTGCTCCAAGGGCGCATGTGTGTGCGAGAGCGGCTGGGAGGGTCCTGGCTGTGAGTGTCCCACGAGCAATGACACCTGCATTGACAGCAGGGGGGTATGTCCCAGGCACCCACAGCAATGTCCCAGCAGCAAAACCTGGTGTCACGGCCTGTGTGTGAATGCTCTGTGACACCCACCGTCCCCTCTGCTCCCCCAGGGCATCTGCAACAACCAGGGGAGGTGTGAGTGCGGACGGTGCATCTGTGACAAGGCATCCCTGTACACCAGCTCCACCTGCGAGATCAGCTACTCCCTGGTGAGGATCTGCATGGGGTCCTTTGGGTTTCTCACTTCTCCTTCCCAGGGTGAATTGCTGGGGAAGGAGTGCAGAGCTTGGGGGGATGCCATGCCCTCCAGCTCCCCAGCAGTGTGGATGCTGAGTGTGTGTAGGGTGTGCATGCGGCAGAGGTCTTGACTATTGCTTTATTCAGGTTTGCCTCAAGGCAAAAAACTCTTTTCGTGGCTCAGTGCCTCAGTTTCCCCACTGCTAATCCCTTGGGAAGAAAGATAGCTCAGTCTTATTTTGGGAAGGTCACCTAACGTGGGTGCTGCAGTACTGGGGATGGCATCTCTGCAGCCTGCTCTGGGTGTGATGCTTCCCCCAGGGCTGATCTCCATCTGCCTCTGCCCAGGGCTTCCAGGCCGTGTGCGAGAGCATCAGGGACTGTGTGCAGTGCCAGGCCTGGGGAACAGGCAACAGGAAGGGGAACTGCAGCACATGCCACCTCCACGTGCAGATGGTGGAGGAACTGAAGAAAGGTACTGAGATGCAGAGACATGGGATCTGTCTGCCTTGTGCATGGCCTGGGGGGGTGCTAATCCTGGTGGCCACAGCCTGATTGATGATGGTGTTCCCAATCTGTTTGCAGAGGAGGCCAATGAGCACTGCTCCTTTCAGGATGAAGAGGATGACTGCACCTATCACTACACACTGGAGGGAGACCCCAGTGTTCTCCCCAATGCCACCGTCCAGGTGCAGAAGAAGAAAGGTGAGTAGAGAAGTGGCAGAGCTCTCCCTGGGCAGCATTGCTCGCTGTGAGCATTGGGAGAGATGCTCCCAGGCTGAACCTGGCTCCTCACATCCCCCTCGGACGCTGATGCGCTGCTGATGCTGCTGTTGTTTGCAGAGTGCCCTCCTGGCAGCTTCCTCTGGCTCATCCCACTGCTCATTTTCCTCATCCTGCTCCTGGGGCTGCTGCTGCTGCTGTGCTGGAGGTTCTGCGCCTGCTGCAAGGTGAGTGACATCCAAACCCAGCCCACCTCCATTGTAGCCGGGGCATCAGCTCTGCCTCTTGACTGACATCCAGCACCACTGCTATGAACTGCAGTGTGACTTCCCCCACTAAAAGGCTGCCAGGTTAAGGTCATCTTCCAGAGCCCCTTCTGTCCTCACTCCAGCACTAAATCCTCCCAACTGAAGATGGGAGTTTAACCCCTGACTACAGAGTGACTGTGTGTTTGGTCATTTATTTTCTAGGCTTGCCTGGCCCTGCTCCCCTGCTGTGCACGAGGTAGGAGCCCTTTGAATGGGGAGAGGGGTCTGTGGGGTCACTGCCTTCTTGTGGGGGGATACACAAAAATAGGCATCCTCCTCCTCTTCCTGTCTCAGTTGGGAGATGAATCGGGGCAATGTCTAATCAGAGCCTCAGAGAAAAGATACTGCTCATCCTCCCTCCCCAACTGGAACCCCCCTGCTGGCTCTCCAAGCTGGGTTGCATGCTGTCCCCATTCTTGGACACCCCCACTCTTGCCACCAACTTGTTGGCTCCACTGTGCTCCCAATACCCTTAGCTTGGTGGAAGACTCCCCAGGACGAATCCCTGCTGTTGGGGAATTGATGGTTGGCATCCGTTGCACCCAGGAGTTGGACACAATAATCCTCATGGATCCTTTCCAACTTGGGATAGTCCACGATTTTATGGTTATTCGACTCTGCTCCTGCTCTGCAGGTCGCACTGTTGGCTTTAAGGAGGACCACTACATGCTCCGCCAGAGCCTCATGTCCTCAGACCACCTGGACACCCCCATGGTGCGCAGTGGATCCCTCAAGGGTCGGGACACCGTCCGCTGGAAGATCAACAACAACGTCCACAAGCAGGGTTTCACCTCCCACGCTGCCCTCAACCCCAAGGACCTCAGTAAGTGACAGACATGAGGAACGGGGCCTGGAGGAGATGGTGGAGGACGTGAAGCCTCAGTGGTTGCCCCCAGTAGCCATCATGTCACCTCCAAATGCATTGCAAAGGTCTTCTGGGCTGATGCTGGATGGGATTTAGCTGTTGGCAGCATGTGATCTGGACGCCATGCATCCAGCTGTTGGCTGGGTTGTCAAAGTGGGTAATTTCTTCTTCCAGTTCCCTATGGGCTGTCGCTGAGGCTGACACGGCTCTTCACGCAGAACCTGGTGAAGCCAGAGAGCCGGGAGTGCGAGCAGCTGCGCAAGGAAGTGGAAGAGAATGTAAGAGTCTGAGCACCGTGGGGATGGGGATGGGAATCTTCAAAGAAGTGATTTTTCCCTCTTACTGAAAGAAAGCACAGATCCTCAGGATTATCAAAGCATTGCATTGGGTTGCTCCAGGTGCAGCCTCTAGCTGTGTCCTGGGGACAAGCTGTATGGTCATCCCTGCCTTGGGTGGGGGGAAAAGGTGAGGACTGGGTTTGGCTCGGGGTGATGTACATCTACAAAGTCCCTCTTGCTCCTACAGCTGGATGACATCTACAAGCACATCCCAGGCTGCTACAAGCCCCAGCAGACCAAGTTCAGGTGGGTCACTGTGGAAAGACCTTCTGTTCAGGGTCTGGGTACCCCAGGGCCAATGCCCAAGAGTGATGGGAAGGGTGTGAAATCTGTGGTGTGGGATGGAGCGTGGTCTGTGGGCCATTCCCAGTGCTCACATGGTGCTCAATGGGGAAACTCAGCCCTGTGCACAACAATAAGTGCCTGCTGCAGCATGGGGATGCTGGCACTGAGCAAGGAGCACCATCCCCTCCCTGCGGCTCTGAGCAGCTGTGGGTGCCCCGTGGGCTTGTTCCTCACTGCATTGGGAAACCTAGGGCTGGAGGGAGCAGCCTGACAGGAGGGAACATGAAACGGGGCCGTTGTTTCTGTAGGATGGGTTGGCATTGGTCCCTATGGCTGCAGCCCGCAGGGCAGCTTCTGCAGCTCAGACATGTGCAGGGCTGTGATTCACGCAGAACTTTGTCTCCCCAAAGGTTTTACTCACTCTGATTGTTTCTTTCTCCCCCTCCCAGGGTACAGCCCAATTCTGGGAAGAGGTAAGTGGATCTTCCAGCCTTCTATGCTGTTCTCCAGCAGCAAGCAAACCTCATTCAGCTCTTTTCTTCCTCTCTTCCAGACAGGACCACACCATTGTGGACACGGTGCTCACCGCCCCTCGCTCTGCCAAGACAGAGATCATCAAGGTCACTGAGAAGCACGTTTCCCACGAGGCTTTCAATGACCTGAAGGTTTCACCAGGATACTACACTGTGACCTCTGACCAAGGTGTGGAGCAGAGCCCGATGCTGTGTCCTGGGGCAGGACGTTTCCCACCTTCCATCATTGTCCCTTCCCCCAGATGCTCACGGCATGGTGGAATTCCAAGAAGCTGTGGAGCTGGTTGATGTCCGCGTCCCACTCTTCATCAGGGAGGATGATGATGATGAGAAGCAGCTGCAGGTGGAGGCCATCGATGTCCCCACCGGCATCGCACAGATTGGACGCAGGATTGTCAACATCACCATCATCAAGGAACAAGGTGAAGGACGGTGACCATGGCATGAGACAAAGGGCAGTTTGTATCTGTGTGTCCCATGTCCAGATGGACTTGTGGTTTGTTAGGAAGGTGCAGTCTGTGTGCTCCCATAGGTCACAGGCCAGAGACTGCTGTCTTCAGGTACTGGGGTCTAAACCACAGCATCTTTTAAAGCATAAGAAGAAAAGTTATCACCCCTAGTGACAGAGACCAAAATATTTGATCACCACAGTTTACTTCTTACTAATTCCATGGCAAGAGTTCCATGGGTTGGCCATAGGTCCCTGCAGTGCTTGGGGCAGCAGGTGAATGTCCCCAGTGATTTGCTTCTGCTTCTCATAGGGTGGTTTTGAGCAGGGAGAAGAGTCAGGACTGGTGAAGCCACCAGCCTATGCAGTAGTATTTCCAATGTGGTTTATAGCTTTGGGTGGTAAGAACTCCCCACTCATTGCAGGGGAGTTGGACCAAGTGACCTTTATGGGTCCCTTCCAACTCAAATGATTCTACGATTCTATGAACTCCCTCCCTGAGCACTTGTAGTGTGAATCTTAGTGCATTAACACATCTGTTCTTTCCTACCCCTTCCAGCCAGCAGCCTCATCACCTTCCTGCAGCCAGCCTATTCCCACAGCCGCTTTGATAAGGTGGCCAAGATCCCTGTCCTGCGGGAGATCATAGACAACGGGAGGTCCCAAGTTACCTACAGGACCCGAGATCTCACTGCCAAGGAAGGCAGGGTAAGGATGGGGCTCCTGACCTGGGCAGGCAGAAATGAGCAGGCACCAAGAAAGGAACCAACCTGCAGAGAAACAGTGAACTGGGCTCAAAGGAGATATGGCCAGGAGAAGGGAGAGCCAAAGGTTGAGAACCATCTCGTGGCTGCTGTGGGCTATAAGCACGCACTACTCCTTTCTCTTCCAGGACTACGTCTTCACAGAAGGTGACCTGGTCTTCCAGCCCGGGGAGACCCGAAAGGAAGTGCAAGTCTCCCTGCTGGAGCTAACTGAGATAGACACCCTCCTGCACAACCGCCAGGTCAAGCAATTTGCCATCGACCTCCTCCATCCCAAGTATGGGGCCAAGATTGGCCGATACCCCCAGGCTACGGTGACCATTGCTGACCCAGGTAGGGGCTGGCAGCCAGGTGCTGGGCGATGGCAGCAGGAGGTGGTTCACCCCACGCAGGATCGGTTCACCTGGAGTGTGCCACGAAGCTCCAGTCTCCCACCTCCCTGTAAGAGCTGCGATGAGCAGCGTCCAGCTCCGACCGGTGGATGTGGGTCTCCCTCTAGAGGCATTAGAGAGTATAGGTGGGAAGAAGATGGATGGTCTGTACTGAAAAAGGAAATAGAGTGCATTCTTCACTCCTTTTCCTTTAGGGATTTGAATTAAAAGCTGTAAAAATAGGGGGAGAGGTGGTCAGCATTAGATTGAGCCAAGCTGAAGATTTCCAGCTGCAAGAAGCCAAATTCTTCTGAGAATGGGAGAAGAAGCAGGTGGTGCAGGACATCAGGGGATCAAAGCCAGACTTTATGCCAGCTTGCTGCATGGTTTGGGGGGATGGCATCACCAAGTGGCCTCAGTCTCCCTCCCCTATGATGGATATTTATCCTTCAGTAACGCTGAATGGCCAGGCAGTGCCAGGAAGGTGCCCATTTCTTTTATTTCCATCTCCTTGGAGGACTGGCACTGATGCGTTCTCTCTCCCTTGTGTCTACAGAGGTGGTGGATGGTGTCCCCCCACTGACTGGCATGGGCCAGCTCACCCAGTCTCCCAAAGGCCGCCTGAGTGCACCCCTTAATCCCAGTGCCCAGGCCCTGAGCTCCAAAGAAATCCACTTCAGTTGGTTTCCTCCAACGGGAAAACCTCTGGGGTACAAGGTGAGGAGTGTGTGGATACCAGGGGAGGTGTGGGTCCTGTCATGAGGCTCTCACACCCGTATTCCTTCATGCTGAAGGGATGGGGAGAAGAGACTCAAAAAAGGGAGCGAGTTCTTCCATCCTGGTCCCTTTCATAGAATCATTAAGGTTGGAAAGACCACTAAGATCGCCAAGTCCAGCCCCAATCCACCCCTACCATCCCCACTGACCACGTCCCCCAGTGCTGCATCTCCACAGTTCATACCTCCAGGGATGGTGACTCTTTCCTGGGCAGCTGTGCCAATACTTCTCCAACCCTGATGACCATTTTCAGGCGGATGTGAGACTTGCAGGAAAGTTTCCTGTTGGGCTCATCCCCCTTTCCATCCCTTACCTTTGGGCAACGTTGCAGGGAAGGTCCCAAAAGACACCTACCTGTTCTGGAAGGGGGTGCAAATGAGGCAGTGAGGTCTGGAGGTACCACAAAGTGTTCTGACCCCTATTTTGGACAGCTGAACAATGTCCTAAGAACAGATCTAAGAAGAAATGAGGAATTCCTCACCTATCACAGTGAAGATTTGAAGGAGTCATAGCTATCACTTGTTTTGTCAGGTGAAATACTGGGTGCAGGGTGACCCTGAATCCGAAGCCAACGTCATGGATGTCAAATCACCAGGGGCAACACTGAAAAACCTCTATGCCTTCTGCGACTACGAGATGCAAGTCTGTGCCTACAATGCTATGGGTGAAGGGGCCTACTCTGACATCATACACTGCCGCACGCTGGAGAGTGGTGAGATTCTCTATGTAGCAGCAAATTGTGCTCATCTGTCTGCCATTTATGGAGCTCCAGGCTCCTGATTGCTTTGCTCCTAGCTGGAGTAACCCGGCCTCTTGGCTCTTGCCATTACAGTTCCCAGTGAGCCTGGTCGCTTGGCTTTCAATGTCGTGTCTTCCACCGTGACACAGCTGAGCTGGGCTGAGCCTGCAGAAACCAATGGGGTGATCACAGCTTATGAAGTCAGTTATGGACTCGTTAATGATGAAAATGGTAAGTTGCTTGTTTTCTTGCCAGGGCAGCTCTACCAGTTGGAGTGCACTTCTCACATCTGGGCTGGTCCCATGTTGCAGCAGGAAACCTGGAGGTTTTCTAGGAAAGGATAGATGTCACCTTGAGGGATGTGGGTTGGTAGGCATGGTGGGATGTGTTGATGGTTGAAGTGGGTGATCTTACTGGTCTTTTCCAACCTAAATGATTGTATGAGACTATAATTCTAGAACCAAAAGGGCTCCAAGGATGTTTATTGTGAAAACTGGGATAAGATGTCATTTCTAGGAAGAAGGAGCACAGCAAATCGTAACTTAGGATTGAATCCTGCAAAGCCATGAGTACTCTCAATTCTCATTCATTTCTGTAGTATTTTGTGCTGTTTTTCATGTTTAAAACTTTGTTCATAGGTCTAGACCTAGATCTATGGTTACAGTAGGAGACTTCTGCTACAGGCTGACTTCAGCATTCAGTGTGGGAATTTCCCCAAGACAATGTCATGCCTGTCATGAGCGTCCCAGATAGCCTCTACGCCTTGTCCCTGAGCCAAGCTGTGTCCTGACACCAAGGCTCATCAATCCTGTTGTCCGAGGACGTGCTGCTGTGGGGCTGTCTGTGCCTCATGACCTCATGGGGGGATATGTGTACCTCTACTTTCAGTCCCCATTGGCCCCATGAAGAAGGTGCTGGTTGAAGACCCGAAGAAGCGCATGGTGCTGATAGAAAACCTGCGGGAGTCCCAGCCCTACCGCTACATGGTGAAGGCCAGGAACGGTGCTGGCTGGGGACCTGAGAGAGAAGCCACCATCAACCTCGCTACGCAGCCCAAGCGTCCCATGTCCAGTGAGTTGCTGCCCTGTCTGGATGGGGGGCAGTGGAGGCAGGAGCAGTGCTGGGGGGCTTCTTTCATCACCCAGCTGCTCCTCCACACCCTGCCCTCTCCACTGTGCCGTTCACCCTGGTGAAGGCTGAAGGCCTGAGCGCGGTGGGTCCAGCACGGTTGTGAGCTGTGTGTCTAACGGCACTCCCCACCTCCCCTCCAGTCCCCATCATTCCCGATGTCCCCATCATTGATGCTGAAGGAGGTGAGGACTACGACAGCTACCTGATGTACAGCACGGATGTGCTTCGCACTCCAGCTGGCAGCAAGCGTCCCAGCGTCTCTGATGATTCAGGTACGTTGCTCCAGGTTTTGCAAAGGTCACTTCTAACATTCGCTTTCCTTAACAGCTTTCAGCAATGAGCTTCACTGCTCTTTTCCTCCTCACTGAGATGGGGAGATCCGAATCATCTCCGAGCTGGTGGAGATCAGCACTTCCAAAGCACAGGAGCTGGGAACACTTGACTAATGTTAGCCTAAATAGGACCACCTGTTCTGGCCAGGAGGCAAAAAGAAATCTCAGGGTGGGGTGGTGAAGTTCTTCATAGCCCTCTGTGTTCATCTTCCTTGTCTGTTACTGTCTGAATGGACCAAGAAAATTACTGTTAGCCAACCAGAGATGGCAAAGCACAGATCTCTGAGTCCTTTGGAGGTTCAAGGTCTCAACCAAGCCAACGGGAGGGAGCACACCAGGAGACAGGGAGGCACTGGTCAGGGAATTGGATCCCACTGGATCCCTGTGGCCTCTCATCTCTTCCTCCATCGCTTAGCTTTCAGGATGAGGCTGGCTCCCTTGTCTACTGCACTGGGACAAGGAGGGTAAGACTGGCCATAAATTAGTGGGATCTGGATGGTCTTTCCTTGGGAGTTCTCCAAAGCCTGGGATCCAGAAGCAATTCCCAGAGAGCAGAAGTAATGGGAACACCAAGTGTCTGACCATCCTGCGTGCACACTGCAGAGCATGAAGCCTCTCCTGAGCAGGGGATTGGTGCAGCAGACTGCTCGTGATAGGCGTATGGTGGGACTTCAACTCTCACTTTTTGTCATGATGGACACAGGGCTGGAAAACAGTCCTGGGGTTGAGGCACATTGTGCTTGTCATGTTCCCTCCATCTACCAGTGATGTGATGGTGCACCACCCAAACTCACCAGCCAACGGGTGCTGTTCCCCTTCCTAGCAAGCAGCACGAAGGCGGTTGGTGTCCCGCTCTGTCCCCTCTAGACCATGCCAACACGGGTGCTTACATTATCCCAAAGGCTCCCGATGGAAATACGTGCCGCTGCTGGGAGAAGACTTGGATCTTCGCCGCATCACCTGGAGGCTCCCACCTGAAACCATTCCCCGCCTTTCTGGCAGCAGCCACCTCTCCTCGGACACCGAGGGTCTCCTCCGTGAGGAGGATGGCGACGTGGCTACGGGCAGCCCCATGAGGAGCGGGACCCCCCGGCCCCAAGCAGGTGAAGGACGACTTCATACGGCACTGAGTGTCCTGTCTCGTCCTGCCCTGAGCCAAGGGGGCTGCGGCTGGGTCAGCCCCCTTCCTCCCCCTTATGTGCCCGTCCTCCCGTTGGCATGATGTCCACGTGCTGTAGAGTCTCAGTGTGTCTGTTCACGAGTGTCAAGGTAACCCCCATCTCGGCATGGACTTGGGAGCCTGCTAGCAAGTTGCTTCTACAAAAGGCTGGACCTTCAAGACTCGAGCAAACTCAAACAATGCCTGGAAAGTACCGCCTCCAAAGGCAGCTCCTCAACTTAATTAAGTGCCCTGAGCTCCTGGGGTAGAAATGCTGGACTGTTAAACAGAAATTTGGACTGGACAACCTTTAAGGGTTCCTTCCAGCTCAAACGATTCTATGATTCTGTGGTAGCTGATCTCTCCTGGCCTGCTGAGGATCTGCCAAGGACCAGAACAAGGAAGCAGTTTGCTTTTTAGATCCAACTGAGATGGGATCCAGAGAGAGATAAGGAGAAACCGCCTCCATAAAAGGCTGTTTTTCTTCTTCTGCTTTCTTTTTGAACCTGAAATTATAAACCTGCGCTTGCATCAAAGGAAAGATGTGAGGGAATGTGTTGAGAACTGCAAGCAGTGCCCCAGTGAGGCCGAGGTCTGGAGTTACCTTGGGCACCATGTGTGTCTGGTGCTGGTGTAGGGCAGCGTCTCTGTTTACCCGTTTGTTTCCCCCTTATCATGTTGGGTGATTTGTTCAAGACGGAGAGCTCCAGAACGACCTGCCAGAGCAACTGAAGCCAGGGCAAAGCCAAGGCAAAGCCATGGAGCCTGGAGCAGAAGCCCACCCTCAGCCAGGCCCCTTACATGTGCCCTCTTTCACAGAACACCTGCTGAATGGCCGCATGGACTACTTCTCCGGCAGCAGCAGCACGCTGACCAGGACAGCAAACACCAGCTACCACCAGCACGTGCAGCAGGAGCACAGGGTGATGGGGAGCTCCTCACTGACCAGAGACTACTCCACCATGATGTCGGGGCACGGTGAGTACGAGGTGGTGGGGGCTGCTCTTCCATTCCATGACCACCTTCGGATCCGTGCCCTGCAGATCTTTTTGGAGTGAGGGCTGTGTTTGCAGCCAAAGGGGCTGATGAATCAGAGAAATGGCAGCTCATGTCCTTAGAGGTTGGACTCGATGGTCCTTATGTGTACCTTCCAACTCAGAATGATTCTATGATTCTACCACTGATGTGCTAGGGCTTTGGTAGGGCTGCTCTGCTTCCAGACCACTCTGGAAAGGGTGCCCATCTCTGACTCAGGAACAGGAGTTACATCCTTGTTTCCACACTGCAGAGCTTATGTTGTTGCCCCTTACTATGTCTAGCAGCATGATCCCCTTTCAGCTCCATGCGTGTACATCAAACTGGTGTTGACAAGAGGTTGTGAAAAAACTTCAAATCTAATCCTTAGAAATTTCTCTCTGGGCAGGAGTCAGCACCTGGGCTGAACCCACTCTGACGTCTTCAATGGTGTTTTTCTTTTTCTTTCTTCCCCTATGCTGGTCTGTAGATTACTCAGGGAGATTCCTTTCTCCCATCCTTGAAGATGCTGGGAGGAGAATCCCACGGCCCAGGGACGTGGGTTTCAGGAGCAGGGTAAAGGTGAAGGGTTACTACCCCAGCACTGGCTGTCGGGACTCTATAATCATGACTGATGGGTCCGCGGGGATTTGCAAGTACATAGGTACAGCTTTGTCCAGTGCCTCCTTCAGTCATGCATCCCATAACCAGCCACGCCGCTGGCCATCTGTGAGCTACTCCCAAAAACCCTTTCTCATGGCTTTCTGTGTGCCACACTGATCTACCTCCTGACCTGGCTGAGCCTCCATCACACCACCTTTCCATTTGCAGGAGATTTCAGCTGTGTGCCAAGCCATGTGGGCTGATTAACCTTCACCACTGCTGCCACTGTGATCTAATGAGCTGATCACCTCATCACCCCTTTCCTCTTCATTCCTAACAAGCTTCTTGTTCTCATTCTTACCCCACAGGCTTTTGGAGAACTCCTGGGGAGAACGTGGGTCCCGGCCTTGAGCAGTCCCTGGAGGTGTTGGGTTGATTTAGGTGTAGATCAGGGCTGTGCTCACTCTGAAGATGTCCACAAAGCATTTGGCAGACTGGACAGAGAGCTTTGGGGTGAGCCAAGAGGGCAACACACAGCACCAGGTCCCTGGCCAAAGGGCATGAAGATTACCTTGCCTTCTCCCATGCAAGGGTGGCACCCCAAGGCCACAAGACATCCCTGTAGGTGTGCAGAGTCCCCCTCCAGACAGACTAGCTTGCAGAGAGGACATCTCCCACGTTCTCCCTGCGTTCTCCCTGGACCATCAGGACCATCCCACGCTTGCGTGTGCTGCCGCCTTCTCTCACCCAGCCCAATTAACCCCAAATTCCTGCTGTGACTGTCTGTCCCATTTTGCTTCAGATTCCAGGTTTCCACTGGGTGTCCCTGACATCCCCACACGGTTGGTGTTCTCTGCTCTGGGGCCCACCTCACTGAAGGTGAGCTGGCAGGAGCCGCACTGCGAGAAGGAGGTACAGGGCTACAGCGTGCAGTACCAGCTGCTCAACGGAGGTCAGTGGGCAAGGAGAGGGCTCATCTGGGTGCTGGGAGCTTCTGGTGGTGACATCTTGGCCAGGTCTTCTCTTGGCAACTTGCTGTCGTTGCTTGGGCTGGGGGATGGACCAGATGACCTCCATCACAACCATCATCTCAGTCAAAGGTTTTGTCGTCACGCTGGATTTGGAAGAAGGATTGGAATATAAGAATGTAATATTTTTACATGAAACTTGGGGGCAGTTCACGAAAACGTGATTCTCTTTGGTACTGAAAATCTCCAAGTTTTCAAGAAGCCAATGCTAGCCCCAAGCAACATCTGGTCCTGCACTACCCACTGGGTTGGCAAGGTGTGATGGAGGTGGTTTGGGAGGAAGTTCTCTGGCTCAGTTTTCTGGATAGACCATTTGAAGTAGGATTTAGGAGAAAGTCACGGCTCTGTCATTGTGCCTGCAACCCTCCTCTGATGTCCCTGCTCCCTGTGTGTCCCAGGAGAGGTGCACCGCCTCACCATACCCAACCCCAGCCAGAACTCGGTGGTTGTGGAGAACCTGCTGCCCAACCACTCCTACATCTTCAAGGTGAAGGCACAGAGCGAGGAGGGCTGGGGCCCTGAGAGGGAAGGAGTCATCACCATAGAGTCCCAGGTGGACCCACAGAGCCCACTCAGCCCTGTTCCAGGTGAGGTGAATGGGAAGCAGGGAAGGAGGCACTGATGTCTTTGTGGTTATCTACTGGCCTTGCTGTTTTCTCCCCCCTAAACTCGTCCTGAAGTGCTCCTTTCCTTCCTTTCATTTAGAAATGGGGATTCATTTCCCATGCGCTCACTTTCTTCTAGCTTTCCAAATGGCTGAGACCTCCCTGCTTCATTACATATATGCCCTCACAGGTTCACCCTTCACGCTGAGCACACCCAGTGCCCCCGGACCTCTGGTTTTCACTGCCCTCAGCCCTGACTCCCTGCAGCTCAGCTGGGAGAGACCACGCAAACCCAACGGGGCCATCCTGGGTTACATGATCACCTGCGAGATGCTGCACGGAGGAGGTATGGTGTCAGGCTGTGCGGAGAACAAGACGCCTCCAGCAAAGGCAGTATAACAGAAATGGTGGGAAGACTGACCCATAGCTCAGTGCAGCCCAAATCCAATGGAGGTTATTGGTTGAAGGTCAGCGCTGTGCTGAAACAGCAGGACTGGGTGGTGCGATTGCACTGCCAGTGTATGGCACAGTGTTTAGGGAAAGCTGAGACATCAGCCAGCAGTGGAGAATGTTTGCATGTCCACCTTCTTATTGGACGCTCACAGGACAGTCTCATTGGAGACTCTCACTTCTGTCACATATGTGTGTGCATTAGGGGAGCCCAGGAATATCTACGTCGAAGGTGACAATCCAGAAACGACCCTGACTGTGCCCCACTTGAGTGAGAACGTCCCGTACAAGTTCAAAGTGCAAGCCAAGACCACTCAAGGCGTTGGGCCGGAGAGAGAAGGCATCATCACCATCGAATCTCAAGATGGAGGTACAGAACCATGTCCTTCTGGAAATGCAGAGATAAGAAAGCTCTCAGAGCAGGGAATGTGCCTTCTGGGCTCCTTTTCTGAACCACTCTGGAAGCCACCATTCTCGTGGTGATTCCAATTTCCATAATCTCCGTAAGGAAGGCAATGCTGTGCCTTGTGAGCAAAATGCACTGAATGTGGGGGATGAGAGCAAGACAAATCTCCTGAGCTTACTGCTGGTCCCCACTGAGCGGGGTTGAGATGCTGGAAGCTCCTTGCCATGTCCTGGCTCATTTGTCCCTTCTCCTTCTCCCTAGGAACTTTCTCACAGTTCGGAGGACAGCAGTACACAAGAGAGGTGTACAACTTCCCCATGGAATACACCACCAAAACCAGCATCAGCCATTCCTCTCTGGACCCCCACTTCTCAGGTAGGGACCAGAGGAAGATCTGAACCGTGGTTCTTCCTGCAGAGATATGTGATGACCATCTTCAGCCACATCACTGTGGCTGCCCCATGTTGTCCCCTCAAGCTCAAGGACTCACAGGCTCATGTTGCAAGATGGAAAGTTTGGGAGCTGTTAGGAAATCCTGAGCTGCATCAGGGGTCAGGTGGGGGTTAGGGAAAGGCTCTGCACCAGAGGGCGGCAGGCGTGGAACAGTTCCCCAGGGCAGTGGGCATTGCCCCAAACCACCAGGGAGCACTGGGGCTCTTGTCCAACATAGGGTTTGGGTGGTGCTGTTTGGGACCAGGGATTGGACTCATGGTCCTTTCCGTCTTGGGATGTTGTGTGGCTCCATGAATCCATCCTCTCGTTGCAGACGGCATGCTGATGACGTCCCAGAGAGTGGAGAGTGCCAGCAGCACCCTCACCAAACAGGTCACCAAAGAGTTCATCAGCCGCACCGTGACGTCCAGCGGGACCCTCACCAAGCAGGTGGAGAGACAGTTCTATGAGGCCTGAGCTGGGGCAGCAGGACACTCCATTGGGGCTGACAGAGCTTTGCAGGACCATCCAGGAGGGCTTCACCCAGACTGTGCTTGGGCAGCTCCTCCAGACCTTCCATGGCACTTTGAGCTCTCACACTCAAAGCTCATGGTTGGCTCACCAGCTGTGTGCTCACCCTGCAGGACTTATCCTCCCCATCCTGCTCTGCAGCCTCAGTTCTGCAGAATGTACTTGGATCTCCTCCATAAGCAACCACTGCTCACTCCAATACCACTCCTCAATGCCCACCCATCCAAGCACACCTCCTGCTGCAGATATTTCTCCATGTCTTCATTCTCCCCAGATAAATCAAAGAAAATGATTTATTCTCAGGTGCTCAGTTTTGAAAGGATCCCTGCTGCCGAGATCCTGATTTATAGAGGGTCACCACTTATTGGCACAGGCTGCCAAGGGAGGGGGGGGAGTCAGCAGCCCTGGAGCCATTCAGGAACTGTTGAGATGTGGCACTGAGGGACATGGTAGGGATGGGTTGGGGTTGGACTGTAGGATCCTATTGGTCTTTCCAGCCTTAATAATTCCATGATTCTACAATTTCCATCTTTGGCCTGGGCTCTATGGCAGCTTGGCTCTCTGCTGGAGATGGTGGTTTTGTTCTGTTCTCTTATACAAGAGCTGCAAGGTAGTGGGTCAAGGTGACATCTGCTTTCTTACTGTGCCTATTTGTGTCTGTCTTTTGCTGCTAACAGTGGTACCACACTAGCAAAGCATACCCTTCCATTTGAATAGCACTACTTACGATGTCCTCTGATGCTTTTTTTTTTTTTTTGGCATACAATATTGTACAGTTTTGGTAGTATATATATATATAAATATATAAATGTATTTTATTATTTTATATTAAAACAAAAAACAAAAAATGGAGGTGGACGAGATCTATGCAGAGTGACGAGGATACATTTGGACCATTTGGCTGATGGGAAGCAGTGGGAACAATGAGTTCAGGCCCCTCTGCAGTATCCACATGGATCCATCCAAACGTTGTTCTGCCCATAGCAGAGCACAGCATGCTGCTCCTGGCAGCACGCATTCCCTGTGCACACGTGTGCTCTCACAGCTGCATTGTGCCCCAAGTGTCATTGCTTTTTAATTCTCACCTGGTCCCCAGGGCTGTTGGTGATTCGGGTTAACCCAACAGCAGCTCTGTGCGCTCAATAAATATTTTCTCTACGGTTTGCCTGTTCCTTTTTGTTTTAATTACATTATTCCTCCACCAAGCCCTCCACCCCCAACAGCAGATGGAGGAAGATGCGCTCCAGGTGTTTGTGCTCCTTGGGAAGGAGGTGATCCCAGCAGGGATGCTGTGCTGGCTTCTCTACAAGGGCAGCACCTTTGCCCCATCAGAGGGTTTGGTGATGTAGAAGGTCGCTGAGCCACTGTACTTCTCCTATAGGCACAGGAGGAGCAGTAAGTGCAGATCCCTAATGCCAGGAGCATGCACTCACTGCACTAACAACTTTCCCAGCCTGCAGCTACCAGCACTCAATGCCTAGAGAATATTGTTCCCTAGATGGATTTAGCCGCCCCAGAGCTCACCTGGCACCTTTTGCTCTTTTTCTCAATGTAATAAAATCTTTTTGCAGTGCTTTGCAGTCAGCACAGATGCCAAACTGCCCCCCAAGAGTTCAGAGCATCAATGGACATGGGGTGCCCCAGCCCCTGACTGCCTTAGGATCTCAGCTCCACCATCATCACCTGGGGTGGGCATCATCTCCTTGAGGGGTGGTTTGGGGAGCTTTAAGTCAATCTCTGGGCGCTTTGCTGTGGTGTACCTGGATGTGCTGCTGGGCTCTCTCTGCAGCCTCGGCCACCAGCAGTGTCACAGTGCAGCCCCCAAAGCCTCCCCCTGTCATCCGGCTGCCATACACCCCATCGACCTCCAGGGCTGCCGCCACCAGCTGGTCCAGCTCCGGGCAGCTTACAGCATAGTCATCCCTACAACGATCACACAGAACAGTGGGGTTGGAAGAGACCTTACAGCCATCCCGTTTCAACCTGCAGCCACAGGCTGGTTGTCCCCCCCACCATATCACATTGTGTAGAAAATGTAGAAAGCCCCGTGCCGTCACATCCTCACCGCAGGGAGTTGTGGCTCTCCACCATCAGCATCCCAAACGTGACATAATCCCCATCCCGCAGTGCCTGTGCTGCCCGCGCCGTGCGCTCGATCTCCCCAACCACGTGCCTGGCACGGCGGTACACCTCCTCATCCAGCTGGCTCCTGGATGCTGCAGAGACACACGCAAACCCTACAGCAAACCCCACGCTGCCTGGAGCCGACGGATGTTCCGTGCCCACCTTCCAGCTCGGCCATGGTGACATCCCGCAGGGTGGTCCTGCCCAGTGCTGCTGCTGCCTCCTGGCACTGGCGCCGCCGCGCGGGGTACTCACTGCCCGTCAGTGTGTGCCGCACGTTGGAGTTGGTGATGAGGACAGCCAGGTTGGCATCACGCAGCGGGACGGGGACAGCATCCAGGGACCTGCGGGGAGATGACAGCGTCCACCCCCACTGCGGCCACGTGGCACCCAGCAGGGTCAAAGTCTGTGTGGTTTAGGGTGGTGACGCAGTGGAACGGGTTGCCCAAGGAGGCTGTGGATGCCCCAGCCCTGCAGGCATTCAAGGCCAGGCTGGATGTGGCTTTGGGCAGCCTGGTCTGCTTGTTGGCGACCCTGCACACAGCAGGGGGTTGGAACCATAGACCACAACGACTTTGCCTGGGCAATCAGCACAAGGAGGAACCATTTCCTTGGATGCTCCAATGGGTCTTTTGGACACTGAGGGCTATCCCCAGCCCCACAGTGGGCTTTTGGGTTGGGGGTTAACACCTCCTAGTGCTCCCGTACGGCTGTGTGTATACCATGGCCATGGGACCAGCAGGTGGTGCCCAGGAGATGCTGACCTGCAGTCGATGAGCAGCGCGTGGTTCTCTTTGCCCATCACTGATATGAACTGATCCATGATCCCGCAGGGCATGCCGGCAAACGTGTGCTCTGCCTGCTGGCACGCCAGAGCCTTGGCCACCAAATCACCATCGTCTGTAGCAGGGAGGAGAGGAGCAGGTGAGCAGTGATGGGATGAGCACCACACAGTGTGCCCAGCACTGAGCCTTCACTCCTCCCTTGGGAGGATTTTCAGTTCATGGGATGTGGGGAAAGCCTTGCAGGATGAGGTTTGCATTTCTGGGGACATGAGGGTGGGGAGAAGATGCTCCAGATGGAATGCTCCACCCATGGGCTCTAGGGACATGGGCAGCTCGAGTGGGAGCTGTGCCCCACAGCAGCATCTCCTCAGGACCTCCCCAAGGACGACCCCATCCTACAAAGAAATGGGGGCCGCACCAGGGCAGAGCTGCTGCAGGAAGGTGTACGTGGCCACTTCCAGAGAGGCAGAGCTTGAAAGGCCACCGCCCAGGGGGACATCGCTGGAGATCACAGCATTGAAACCCGGCACGGGACCGCCTGTGGGAACAGAAGGGAAGAGAGGCCTGTGAGTTCCCATAGCCCTTGGGGCTGCCCTGCCCCACGGGGATCCCAGCAGAGGGGAGAGCCCCTTCAACGTCCCATTTTAAATGCATGGTGACCACTGTGGTCACACAGTTCCCCCAAAGCTTGGTCCCAACAATAGCTGTGGGGCGGCAACATGATGCTCCAAAGGGACTTCTGGCGTGCACCAGCCTCCAGCCCATTTGAAGCCCCGTGCTATGAGCGTGACCCTACACGAGAGGCTCTGACCTTACCCCGGTAGTGCTGGATCACACCTTTGACGTAGTTGGCCCAGTGCGGTCTCCCCGGGCTCAGGGGGCGGCTTTGGGTAGGAGCCGGGAACTGCACCCTATGGGGCTCGTCCGCCCCCGGCGCGGTGGTGAGGATGGAGATGGTCCCGTCCTGCGTGGGGGAACCCACCAGCACCGTGCCCAGCTGCAGGGCCTGCGGGGGGCACACGTGCTCGGCGCCAGCCCCACGGCCACATCCCCGGCGGTGTCACCCAAGGGACAGCCGGTCACAGCCCGCTGGACACCGCAGGGCACGCTCGGGTGGCGGCGGGGAGCTGATGCGGGGCACGGCCCTCCCTTACCATGGGCAGCACGAAGCCGCCGTTGTAGTCGGTGTGCTCGCCGATGAGGTTGACCCTCCCGGGAGCCCACGCAGCCACGGCCGCCGCCACACCGAAGGCCGCCTCGTACGCCTCGCGGGCGGCGGCCAGCAGCGAGCACGGACCCGGTTCCGCCACCGCCGCCATCGTCTCTCCGCTCCTCCCTGCCGGGCGGGGACAGGCTGCCCGCTCCGCCCTGCTCCCGGCCCCGATCGGAGCCGGCGGCGGCGACGGGATTCGAACCCGAGGATGTGAGGGCCGGCAGAACGCGAGTCCCTGCGCGAGACGCGCGCCCCTATAGATGCGTTATGTTTGTGTACACCCAGATCCACATCCATATCCATACCCCTCTATGCTTTATTTTTACTTTATTATCATATTATTATCACTTGTATGTCTATGTGTTTGAAGATACGTATCTTTATACATCTATGTATGTATGAATATTCCTCTACCTATAAACAAATATATACATAATAATAGAGAATACGATAATACAGAGATAGATACCTACACACTTACGTCTATGTTCTTCCCACATACCTACAGATCTATGCCGACGTGTCACACGCGCTGAGCCACGCGCTGAGCCGCGCACCTGAGCTGGGTGCGCCCCCCCCGGGCCGGGCGGTGCCTCCCGGCTGTGCTGCCCCGGGCCAATGGCCTCCAGGGAACCGCTGCTGAGCGCCTTTAAAGGTGAGCATGGGGCTAGGGGCTGCCCCATAGCACGAGCCCCCCCCATTAGGGTCTCCCTGTTAGGGTCTCTACACGGCCTGACTCGCTGTTTGCGTTGCGCTGTGCCTGGCTGGGAGGAGGTTCCCCTGACTTTCCAGCCGGTTTCTCCCTGCTCGGAGGTCCCAGCGTGGCTCCTATGGGTGCAGCTCTTCCCCGATCCCCACACAGGTGCGGTGCTGCGGCTGCGGGGTGACGGCTCTCCGTGCACCGACGCTTCCCCGCACCTGGCGGCCGCCTGCGCGCTGCTGGAAGGAGCCCTGCGGAAGGGGCTGCGACGTGAGTGGCACCGGGGGGGTGAGGGAATGGAGTGGGGGTTTTGTGTACAGTCGAGGCCCCTCTGCTTGTTTCGTACTGCAGAGCCACTGTGGGGCTTCAGGAGAAGGGATTATTGGCAGTGCCTGGAGCAGCTTTCCCTCGGGGAGGGAGGGAGGTGAGTGGAGTTGGGGGATGGGGGGAACAGGGAAGGGCATGGTGGGGTCACCCCGGCCGAGGGGAGGATGTTTGTCCATGTGTTAAACCCCACAGAGCCTGAAGGCTGCCCCAGGGGTAAACCCTAAACTGCTTCCCCTCTCTGTAAGCAGGCTGAATCCCAAAACCCACTATGCTGTCCCATTGGTTAAACCCTAAACCCTTCCCATCTCCTGAAATCCCAACTGCTCTGGATGTTCCTCCATCTATTAACCCCCAAACCTTTCTCTTCAAGCAGACCAAATCCCAAAGGCTTCCATGTGGGTTAAACCCTAAACCCTTCCCTTCTCCCCAGACTGAATCCCAAAGACTGGATGTTCCCCCTTTTGATTAGATGTTGGGGGAAGCTCTTTCCTATGAGAGTGGTGAGGTGCTGGAACAGCTGCCCAGAGAGGCTGTGGATGCCCCATCCATCCCTGGAAGTGTTCAAGGCCAGGTTGGATGGGGCCCTGGGCAGCCTGGGCTGATTTAAATGTGGAGGTTGGTGGCTCTTCCTGCAGTTGGGGGGGTTGGAGATTCATGATCCTTGAGGTCCCTGCCAACCCAAGCTGTTCTATGATTCCTCCACGTGTTAAACCCCAAAGTGCCCAAAAGCTCCCCCATGTGTTTACCCCCAAACCGTTTGTTCCCCTCTCCCCAAGCAAACCACATCCCAAAGACCATAGATCCCAAAGACCATGCCTTCTGCCCCTTGTGTTAACCCCTCCCCTTTCCCCAAGCAGACCGAGCCCTCTCTCCAGCAGCCTCCATAGAGCCTCTACCTGCACGAAGGCACTGACAGCGCAGGGCCGTGGCCGCTGCTTCCTGCGCTCAGCCCTGCAGTGCAAAGTGCTGGCAGTGGCCATGCAGCAGCTGGTGCAGAGCCCTCAGCTCCTGGAGGTGCGGCATGTGGGGACTGCTGGGCTCCTGGTGGCTCTGAGGTGGTTTCATGGAGTCTTGTGCTGTGTTTCAGTTCTATGACTCGTCAGGCTCCATCCTGGGTAATGAAGAGCTGCGGGGTAAGATGCTTTGCAGGTGTTTTCTGTGTTAATTCTTGTATCAAGGATGCTCTGAGGGGTGCACAGACTGTGTGGTCCCTGCACCCCTTAGGAGACCAGGCCACAGCGACAGCCTTTCATCTTGGCTTTGATGAATAACCCCAGGTTAACAGCCTCCCTAAGCGCTGGTGCAGCTCCTCAGGAGGCTGCCAAGAACTGGCTCTGGGTGCTGCTGGGGAGAATTTAGGGGGGTTGCTCCCTACAACATCATTAGTGATGTTGCAGATTGGCTCCATGCAGACCTTGGCTGCATCCCTGAGAGACCGCAGCCACTGGGACCCTGCAGTAATGCTGCCTCTGTCCCTTCTCCCTCTGCAGAGCCGTTCCTCTCCCTGGTGCTTGTGCTGACAGAGGTGGATTTCTCCCTGAACCTGCAGGTGCAGGAATGAATGGTGGGGTGGGAGGCACAGCCCCCTCCTCACCAGCACCAACAGCACGGCACTGCTTTGTTCACAGAACTGCAGCTTCTTGGATGAGAGCTGGCTGCTGCCGGTAAGCACTCCCTGCTGCCGCCTGCTCCGGCCCTTGCTGGGATGTCAGATGGGAAAAACAAGCATTGGTTGGGGTTGCAGAGATGGCAGCACAGCTTCAGCCATCTGCAGTTGGAGGGATGCATGTGGAGCTGCCTCCGTGCCGGGGTTGGAGCTTGCTGGGTGCCTGTGCTGTCACCAGGCGCTGATCCAGCATTGCCCTGGGTGTGTAGGACCAAGCCAAGCAGCACTGACATAAATGCAGCTTTCCTGTGCTGCCTTCCCCGCTTCACTGCCAAAAAATCATCATTTTTCTGGGATGACACGCAGTGCCTGGGTCACTTGATCTCGCTCTTGTGTTCGCTCAATGAAATATCTATGCGTTCCGAGGCTGTGAGCAGCAGGGATGCCTTGATGGCTTCCAGAAAAATGAAGAGCATCCCTCTGCTGCCTTATAACTCCAAAATAAACCCCGAGGAGTAGCCCAACGCTGGGACTGTGGTCAGGAGGCAGAGCTGCTGCCTGACAGTGTTCATGCCTCAATGGACATGAGTGCTCCCAGCTGAACCGGCTGCGTTTTGGGGCTCTGAGTAATGCGATGTGACAGCAAGAGCTGCTGTGAGCAGCCTGGGGCAGGGGCAGTGGCTGTGCAGGGTGAGGGAGGGGGCTCAGAACTCTTGTATGGGGCTTATTTGCTTATGAGATGAGAGAAGGTGGCTGGAAACTCCTTTATAAGGCTCACTGTGAGCTTTAGGTTGTATCTGTTGGGATCTGTATCTCCAGATCTGGGCTCAACAATTAAGCACAGGGGGACAGGAGGCCGCTGATGGTCCTCGTGCCATGTCAGGCACTGGGGAGCAGCTCCTGAAGGCCTGGTTTGGTTTCTGTGCCAGAAGTGACCCCCAGGGAGGGGTCCCCATGTTGCCCTACCCTGGTCACACTGGGTGTCCTGTGGCTTTTCTATGGCTGCTGTCACTTCTGCTCTCTTCCAGGTGTGCGTCATGTATGAGACGGTCCCATGCCGAGCGCTGGGGATGGTGGTGAGGTGGTGATCTGTAGACCTGGATGGCCCCAAAAAGGGGCACATGAGGAGATGAGCACCCCCAGAGCTGAGGCTGTGGATGTCTCGGGTGCTTTTCTCCTCTGTTGGTTCCCCATCCATGGGGTGATTGTCCCTCTGTGTGTGGGCAAAATGCTGCCGATGGCACAGAAGGGCTGGGGGTGATCTCTAGGGCTGAGCTGCAGCTTGGATGCATCCCACAGGTACGTGGATGGCCGTGTCATTGTCATTGAGGTGCTTCCTGGGAGCCAGGCAGAGGTGGATGAGGTGGTGCTGGCTGGGGACGTCCTAGATGAGATCAATGGATGCTCCTTGAGGAACGCCTACAGCGGGCAGGTGGGTGGCATGACTTCACCCTCCCCACGGTCCTCCCGTCTTGCCTCCCCCTGCATTCTTCTCCCATCCTCCTCTCCAGGCCGGGGCGATGCTGCAGAAGCTCAAGGGACAACCACTGAGCCTCCGTGTGCTGCGGTGGCAGGGGCACAATGGTGAGGTCTATGAGCCTTTGCTGCCCTACCTGGAGGCCGTGAAGAAGAAGGAGCCCCATTTCCAGCTCCAGTGTGGCCCCAGGCACTGTGGCAGGGGGGAGAAGCGGAGGGTGCAGGGGGGCAGGTAGGGTTGGCACCAGGAGGTGAGGGGTCTCTGAGCATCTCCCCCCAGCAACAAGCAGCAGGAGGATCTACGGGTCTCTTTTTCCCCCAGGCTGCTCTACAACCTGCGGTACCTGGGCCGGATCGGTGTTGGGATGGTGAGGAGGTGGGCAGAGATGGGTGTTTTTTTTTTTCTTCTGAGCCTGTTCTTCCATGCTTGTGCTTCTTGCTGTTCCAGTTTGGAGGCAAAGAGGTGCTGCAGAAAGCCATTCCTGCTGTGCTGGAGAGCAGCTCAGCACCACGGGTGAGCGATGGGCAGCAGTGTGTGTCCAACTGGAGAACCTTGGGGAGGCTGAACCCGGTGCTGGGGTGTTCTGGGGCTCAGGAGGCTGCTGCTGGAGCCTCCAGAGGGTTTTAATGAAATTAGCAAAGAAGGCAGAGCACAGCCCTGGTCCTGAGTACATGTGGGCAGAGCGTGGAGCCAGCCCATGGGTGATCTGCTCAGCCCAAGCTGGTGTCCTGAGAGCAGGAACACAGCCACAGCGCTGCTGTTTCATGGATCCACAGTGCTGGAAGATCCTTGGAGGACTGGTGGTCCATGCATTTCTTTTCATCCTGTTCTTCCTCTTTGTTTTCTTTCTTTTAACCCTGCATCTGAAGCACGATGAAGTTACTCTCTTAATTTGCAGTCTGTCTCCCCTTCCCATCTGTGGAACACCAGCAGCAGGCAGCTCCGTGTGAAAAGCTGCACTTCATCACTCTGCTCTTGAATAATCTGCCTCGCAAGCAATCTTATTAAAAATAGAGCTCAGGTGCTGCGATCACTGGGGCTTTACTTTCCCCTTTCTCCTCTCCAGGAGGTTTTATTTGATGTGAAGGAAACGGAAATCCTTGTACAAGAGAAGGCATCTCCCAGGGTGAGCACGGGACACCCGAGGCTCTGTTTCTGGCTCATGCACTGAGTTGCAAAGCCCCTTGTCCCCAATTGCCCCCAATGCAGGTCCTGTTTCGCCACCCCTACCCTGCAGTCTCCTGCGTGGGACGCTGCCTGAAGACCAGCAATGTCTTTGCATTCTGTGTCCTGTGAGCATCCCTGTGCATGGATCCCCTCCCCACAGCTGAGCAGGGAGCCCTGAGCTGACACAGGGCTGAGATTGGGCATCCCACCCAATGTGGGGATGCAGGCGTTGGGAGCACAGGGCTGAGGCAGCGTGGCTGCTCGTGGGATTGCTCTGACATGCTCTCATTGCAGGCCGATGCATTTGTTTCCATATTTAGTGCCTCCTCAGGGAGCCCCAAAGGGAGCACGTTTGACTGCCTGGTGTTTGCATCGAGTTCTGAGCAAGAATGCGAGGAAATCATCCAGAGAATTGGTGAGGGAACATTTTATTTCTTCAACTATAATTACAGTAAAATGTGGAGTACCAAGAGTTGCCATTCCATTCCACCACATGCAAGAGCTAACTTAATCTTTGTTGAGATCACTGAGATGAGTGGATACTTTGATAGTTTGGGGTTGGTTTTCTTTGATTTTATTTCTTTCCTTTAGAGCAGCTAGAGCATTATTTTCAAAAACAGCTTCCAGGCATTCCCAGATGTTTCATTGTTTTCCACTTGGAGGCAACTCTTGTTTTCGAGGGATGCTATTTTATAACACACTTCTCCTCCAGGAGCTCAGCCCGCTGCTGCAATCCAACACCAGCCCAAGCATCAGTAAATCTCACCACTTACAGTTTCTATTTTTGACTTGCCTAAATGCAAGCTATGCTGCTCCCTGGGCTGGGTGCCCCTCAGGGCTCTTGTGGGATGTCCTTGCCACGTGTCCCCCCAGCAGGCTCTGCTGTCACCTCAAGCAGCTTCACCGTCCATCCCTGCCTTTCAGGTGGCTGAGTGGATTTGAGGCAGCCAGCTTGAGGTGCTGCTGGCCACAGCCCAGTGCTGTGAGACAATTAACTTCACCTTTTAGACGCAGTGAAGCTTAGCAGTGAGGGGAATAGCTGCTTAAAAGCTCGAGTCACTTGAAAACGCTTTTAGCGGGCGATAAAGGTGGTGAGCAGTGCCTGTGTTTGGAGCAGGGAAGGAAGGGGTGCTGAGGCTGTTGTGTAAGAGCCCGTGCTAATGAGCGTTTGTTTCTCCAGCTGCAGGATTTAAACACACCGAGTGGTTTGTCTGATAAGGGAGGGCTGTGGCTCAGCTCTCCTCAGGCTCTGCTGACCCAGCTGTGCAAGATGCAGGCTCTGGCTCCTCGATCTGGAACTAGGAAGGTTTCCTTATACTTGCAGGACATTGCTGTGGAAGGAAGTGCAGCAAAAGCAGCTGGTCTTTAAAAAAAAAAAATTGCATGGAGAGGCCAGTGCTGACTTCCTGCGTGCCTTCATCTATGAACTACTGCTTTTCTTCTTCCTAAAACGTCCCTTTGTCTGGATTTTTCAGTGAAATAAATCAAGCTGGACTAGCTCATAGTACTCCCTGTGCAACTTTTGTCTCAACTTTAGCCCTGCTGGCATAGCCTGTTCTTAAGAACTGGCCTAACAATGTAATTTGCATGTTAATTACCTGTTCCAGATGTAGTTTGAGCAGCTTTCCGGTGCCACAACTCTGACTGCTCCCAGAGTCTACTGAGAAAACCAGACCTGTCAGCAGCTAGCGTGCAGGGTTGTCCTCAAGTGCAGGTTTACATCTTATCCCGTTTCATCAAAAAAGCTTAGATGGGAAATGAGAATCTAGCAATTTGCTTAGCAGCCTGGATGCTCTCTGGTTATATAATGAGTGTTTCTGCTTGCTCTGGCATGGCTGCTGCCTTGCCCTTAGTCACAGGCTGAGATCCCACAGGAAGCTGGGAGAGGCGGAGGGCTGCGCTCCCACAGCCTGCATCCGCTCACAGCCCTGACCTGGGCAGATGCTGCTGGATTCACTTTAGACAAACCAGTCCCACCACTGCAAAAAAAAAAAAAAACAACAAAACTTCCCTTCAATGTGGAAGGAAGAGGGAGGGGGGGAAAAAAAGCAGAAGTTCTGAAGCTGGGCCTGTGCTGCTGCCACTGATAAGCAGCTAAGCTTCAAACAAGGGAGCCCCACAGGGAGGGAAGAAAGCTGCCTCCTGGCCTGTGCCTGTCAGACCGCTCCTCCTGGCTGAGCAGGAGATGACTCAGGCCTCCTAAAAACATCAAGGGGAGCCAGGGTGAGGCACTGCTTCATCGGCAGAAAGCTAAGCTGCAGCAGCAGTCCAGTATCACAAGCATCTACTGCTACCGTACTGGAGCCAGGAATAAGCTTCTCCAAGCCCATACAAACCAAATGACAAAGACTCCTCGCATGTGAATGTAAAACATTTAATTTAAAAATGTTGACACTACAATATATAAAATAGCTATTATAAATGCACATAGTGTATTCTATAGCTGCCAGGTTTACGTTTTAGGAAACTGTAAGTTACACTGTGGTTAAGAGTTGTAGTTTCACCCTCTGAAAAAGTCCACATTTGATCACAGTGATGTATGGTCAGACTAACAGCCCCAATTGTTAAACACTTGGATCAAGTCATAACCAGTTTTATTGCAAAAGGACCCTGTACACATTTATATCAATTCTAGTACCTTACAAGTTTAGCTACCCAACAAGTCATTAACATACAGAAACATGCATGAGAAGCAAGAAAGATCACCCATCCCTTCTGCATATTAGCAACTTGTCACTCCTGAGCAACAAGGCTCACATCACTGAGGTTTATGTGAACAGTCACTTTTAGCATTCATCCTGAGTGAAAGATGGAATGACTTAAGTACAAATGCAACATATTATAAACAATTTCTTACAAAAAAAGTCACAAATTAAAACCAAAGTATTTTACAGAATTTACTACAAAACACCATAAAAACAGCCTTCACTTAAGCTCTCTCTCCCCGTATCCTGCGAGCCAACTGGATATCTTTGGGCATGATGGTGACTCTCTTGGCATGGATGGCGCACAGGTTTGTGTCTTCAAACAGACCCACCAGATACGCTTCGCTCGCCTCCTGTTCCAAGAGGACAAGAAGAAACGTTAGAACCGACGTTAGAGCCTTTCGGCAAAGCCCTCAGCAGGCCACCAGCACTACCTGCAGCGCACCGATGGCCGCACTCTGGAACCTCAAGTCCGTTTTGAAATCCTGGGCTATTTCCCTGACCAGCCGCTGGAAGGGCAGCTTGCGGATCAGCAGCTCCGTGGATTTCTGGTAACGACGGATCTCACGGAGCGCGACGGTGCCCGGCCTGGGTGGAATAGGAAGGATCGGTGAGGCGGGGCACGGCAGCGGCAGCCGGGCCGCAGCACAGCGTGCCGGCAGCCTTACCTGTAGCGGTGAGGCTTCTTGACGCCGCCGGTAGAGGGAGCGCTTTTCCGGGCCGCCTTAGTGGCCAGCTGCTTACGCGGAGCCTTCCCCCCGGTGGACTTGCGGGCGGTCTGCTTTGTACGGGCCATTTTTTCCTCACTTACCTACGAGGACACGCACCCGTCAGGCAGGGCCCGCTTCCC